TTCGCCCAAGCCTATTGTGGACAAGCGCCTCGTACTGCGCGATCTGCGCGGTGGGCATCTGTGCAAGTCAGTGTGTCTTCTGCTTCTCATCTGTGTGTGCGCCTGCCCGTCTCCGGCAGCTGCAGCAGCGCATGCACATGAAGAACACAAAGAATGCGAGCAGCTGTGCGTAGATGACGAGGTCATAGCCAGACATGAAGAAGCCGGAGCTAGAAGATCCTTCGAGAGGAGTCTTCAGTACGGCTAAGTCACCTGCAGCTGCCAGCTCAAGCAGGTCAGCAGCTCGAGATGTACCTCCGAACTTCTCCAGAAGTCGAGACATGGTCTGTGCCCGCATGGCATAGCGAGGCTGGGAGAGGACATGATGTACATCCTCTGCCTGGACCCAGCCACCCTGCGGCCCTGTGGTCCCTGCGCCAGCGTCCGCAATGCGTTGGCAAACGCCCATCTGATCCCCAAACTGTGGGTAGCCAATCAGCGGCTTGCCCATGGCCATGCTCTCGACGGCCGAGTTTCCACCGCAGTGGGACACAAAGGCCTTCACCTTCGGGTGCGCCAGTGTCCGTGCCGTTGGGATCCAGTGGTGGATCATGACACTCGAGGGCAAAGTCTCTGGCAAGCCGACCTGTTGTGCCTTGGGCAAAGCCCACAAAGTGAAGTGTTCTGCGGACGTCAGGGTTCGCAGTGTCGCAGCCACCCTCTCGGGAGTCAGCCGCACCATGGTGCCGTAGCTCACATAAACGACTGGCATTCCCTCGGGCACAGCCTCGAGCCATGACTCCACTTCTTCTGGGAAAGGCTCCATCTTCTTCACATCCACGACCGGGCCCGTGTACTGCACCAGAGGCGGCAGCAGCTGCGGGTAGTCAAAACCCGGGATGCTGTTCACGAATGCAAGGCGGCCCCTCCATAGGTCCGGGCTGAGGTCTGGCATGAATGAAAACTGAAAGCCTGCAAGCACGGCCAGATGTCGCCCGAAGTTCAACAGTGAGTTGCCTCCGATGACCAGAAGCCTGTCCAGGAAGGTCATGTTGTGCGGATTCGCCAAGTAGAAGGGCGGTGGGATAAAGGAGGACGCCCATGGGCAGACGGGTGGGACGAGGATGGTTGGCACGTTCACTGCAAAGTCGATGCCCTGGGCCTGCAACTCGCGGCCAGCACCACCGAAGGGGAGGCCAAGTAGGGCAAAGGACGGCCGCACTTGTCCGCTCTTGAGCACTCTCGACACGCCCTCTCGCAGTTGATTGAAGTACGGGGTCAGCAGGTTCTGGGCCATGAAAGATATCTGAAGGAGCGTGCTGTTTGAGGTCAGCATGTGCCGTACCAGCTCGTCCTCCTTGTCATCGCTGACAGGCAGCTCGCCAAGGCTGATGTAGTTCAGCTTACACTTCGGAGCNNTTCTGCCGTCCCCGTTCTGCAAAGCTCAGCACTGTGACATTGTGTCCCCTGAGGCAGAGCTCCTGCCCGATGGAGATGCAGTTGTGAAGCGGAGATAGCGGGACCCCGACGATGAGGAAATCAAACTTCTCGGCCGCCATGGCACCTGAATTGGCGGAGCGGCGCAGAAGCGAGTTCGAAGATGCTCGAGTAAAGGGTGCATCTGCAGAAACTGCCTCACAGTATCCCTGTTCTAAGCACGTCGAGCTTTGGCAACTTTTTTTGCTTGGATCAGCTGCTGCTCCTCTTGCGCTTCTTTGCTTTTGCTTTCTTCTTTCGCTTCCGCCTTTCTGCCTCACTGGCTGAGCTTGAGGATGTCCTTGGCTGCATGTGCAACAAGCCCTCTTCCTCAAGGGTACTGACTACGCATGCTAGGGACATCTTGGAACACCGATGAGTCTATCATCCCGAGTGGCTCGCTGGGACTGCTCCGTTTGCGCCCCTTCCGATGCCGGCGACTGCGGCTTCGACTCTCAGATCGACCCGACATATTAGGATAGCCCGCGCCATAGCCGTAGAAGCCGTAGGGCATGCCATAGGGATAGCCCGGCATGGGGTATCCATAAGCATAGCCATACGCTTGAGGAGGGGCGATCTGTCCTGTAACGCACGGATCACTATGGCACCAGGCTGCCACATCAATGACTTGCGCACCGACCTCCTGTCGGACCACCTGGCAGGCAATGTAAGCGTTCTGGTGACAAAGTTTTTGCCCTACAAGAGTCATGGATGACACTCATGAGTTCTCATGTCGCGTCATGTTGACTTCGACCATTCCGCGCAAACAACGTGGTCAAAGTGTTCAAACATGCAGACGCCAAATTGCAATAGCCTTGAACACCATTCTTCGCATCACGGATGCGAGACAGAAGGGCCGAAGATGGATTGCGAGCCTCAGCAGAATATCCGAAGTAGGTTGCTAGCACCAGCGGCAGTAGCCCACGGTCCAGGAAAGAAGTAGTGACTCTTGCGACGGGAATGTCGCAAAGTGCGAGTGCACGAATCTGACGGGATGACCGTTTTCAGCTCGCCACGTGCGAGAACGGCGTGCTGCACCGAGGGGGAACATCCCCTCCAGTTGTGTTTAATCGAAGAAGAACTTCTTTAACAATTAATGCCCATCTTCTCACCCTTCCTCAAGGAGTCCGCTGCACTTTCGTCTACCTTGTTGTGCCTGATGAACCTTGGCAGCCAATACGCACCGAGCAAGAATCGTGAAGCCTTCATGTTCCTCAGCCCACTGCTCCTCCACTTCCAAGCTGGCACCTCCACATCTTTGCTCAGTCAGCGGGTGTAGCATGCCGCACGGGACAAAACAAGAATCCGAGTGCCGCACTAGGACTGGCCCCTTGGCACAAGCACAGTATTGAAAGTTGACTTGCTGGTGTCAAGAAGCGAAGACGAAACCGAGAACCAGGTTGCAGCTCGAGTACCTTCGGCTGGAGGTTGGGAAGCTGCGCTGCGCCTGCAGCTCCGATCATGCAGCTTGGGCTTAGGTGCTGAGTTGACCTCTGTCTGGCCAGCATCTACTTGAAATCTCCCTTGCTACTGATGCCGCGCTAAGACTCTAAGCATCCAGCGCGTCACGGATCCTCGCAAGAAGAGCCGCGGATGGATTCCGTGCGCTGTGCAGGTCCCCTCGCGCAAGCACCTGGTTGGACAAAAGCAGGGCGCAAGATCACATGTCGCCGTGCGCCTCCCCATAAGAGAAGGAGACGGAACCAATGATTTCTAGGCTGGCTTACTTCTAGGTAGGACTTTGTGTTTTTGGCTGCGGATGCTGAAGTGGAGCTTCATGGCTTCGCACGTTTTAGGCTCTTGACTTGAGGAAGCTGATTGCTCCTGGAAGCGTGTCTGGTCGAGTCACCAAAAGCTGTCCGCATAACTCTCACACCGTGCATGGGAGAAGGAAAGCATTCTCATGCAGCATGCTCTCGCCCGCACATTGCATTCGACAGCGCAACTTTTGAATAACAGCACTTCCATGCCTTCCGCTGCACTTCTCCGGGACACTCCTGTGCCGGAATTGCAGCTGAACTCACATCTCGTGCTGCGGAAGAGTAAGCAGCATAAATAAACTTGGGATCTCATGCACACTTGCCACTGCATCTGCCAACTCGAGAAACGAACCCAACCCAGCCCGTCCCGCAGGTCAGCAGCGGCGCGCGAGTCGACATCATTCGCCTGTTGACGCACAGCTAGCAAATGCACCACTAAACAAGTGGTGAACTGTTCTTCTTTTCGGAGTGCTACGCGAGTGAGGGCGAGAAGCTAGAGATGCGGACTGGCAACCCTTGAACAACTCATGAAACCATATAAAGGATCAACACAGGTGCCGAGGAGCTGTGAGTTGGACGCTGCAACAACGATGCAATGAGATCGTGTTCTGTCGAGCAGTCTGGGCACCGTTCCTCGAGGAAGTCCTGCACCTCCTCCTCACTTGGCAGAGCCATGGGATCGCGGCATGGGGAAGTACTATCAAAACACCTATCTCAACTAGTGCTCTTAGGTTCAACTGACTCTCTCTGACGGCTTTGCTATGCATTCTTCCGGGTGTCCACATTGGTCTTGGAAAATGTTCTGCGTGCACTCTATGCTGGCGCAAAGAAAGATCGCGTGCAAGGCAGTTCTCGTTTGTGCTGGCCCGTGCGCGCAAGGAGGCGCAGCACTGGCGAGATAATCACGTTTCCTCACTTTTGCACGAAAGGCTTCGACATGGTGGTCTTTGACAAGCACATTGGCTTGTCTCTGCCGCCTGCCCATCTCCCATCATCTCACTCTCGTCCATCACAAACGACCTCATCTCGTGTCTTCGCATGGGGACGGATGTGACGTGGGTCATGCATGCGCCTTCCACCCAGAGCTCGTGCGCTCGAGCTCCACGGGATGCCAATCCTTCCGGAAGCTCTCAATGTGCCTGCAGTTCAGTTGCGGGCCGCGCTCACTCCCCGCCGGAGATATTCCGCGATGCTTCCGAGACGCCCAATGCTCACCACCTGTAGAGACAAACAGCAAACGTTGCGAGCTTTCAATCCTTGCGGCCAACACACTAAAGCTCCTGCTCACCTAGGGCCTAGGGCCCTATGATGCCCTATGGCTCTTGATAGTGGGTGACATCCATGAAGAACTGCATAAAGCTGTGTTTTTTCATACATCTTGACATTCTGAGCCAAGCCTGCAGGCGCTGGACCTGAGGTCACAACTGCACGTATCAGCGTGCAATCGCTCGGGGTCTCTCACGAAGCTTCGGAGCTGCAACCAGGAAACATCCAGTCTCCAGGCAGAAAACAAACTCGTGTCCTGCAGTTGTATGCTTGGCTTCACTATCTTGGCTAACAGCAAACAGTCTACAAAGAAGCTCAAAACACAGGTAAGCACACACTCCACATGCTGGGCTGGGCTGGGCTGGGCTAATAAGAGCTTAATAAGGGCTCAATATGCCCGTAATAAGGGCTTAATAAAGCCATAATAAAGGCTTAATCAGGCCATAATAAGGGTTTAATAAGGCCATAATAAGGGCTTACTAAGGCCATAATAAGGGCTTATTAAGGCCATAATAAAGACTTATTATTTTGGCCATAATAAGGGTTTAAAAGGGCCTTAGCTGGGTTGCTGGGCTAAGCTGGGCTAGGCTGGGCTGGGCTAGGCTGGGCTGGGCTGTGGGCTGGGGCTGGGTGGGGCTGGGGCTGGGCTGCGGCTGGGTTGGGCGGGCTGGGCTGGGGTGGGGCTGGGGCNNCTGGGGTGGGCTGGGCTGGGCTGGGCCGGCCCCAACTCCGGACCCGAACCCGAAACCCTTGAACCCGTTATTTTGGTGTCAACAAGAGCTTAATAAGGGCTTAAGAGGCCACTAAGGGCTTATTATGGCTAGGGCTTGATAGGGCTGGACTGGACTGGGCTGGGCTG